TATTAGAGCATAAGCTTTCGTGGGCTGTAGTCCACGAAAGCTTATGCTCTAATAAATTTGTTAGTCTCTAAGGTGCCACAAGTACTCCTGTTCTTTTTGCAGATACAGACTAACACGGCTGCTGCTCTGAAACATGTAAAGCAGGAGTGCTGCTGAGTGCCCCTGGAACAGAAGGGAGAGGGGGTGATAACAGAGCATCAGGGTCTCCTTTCAACATTGACCAGGGGGAAGCAAGAAACTTTCTTCCCTGCTGGACCCAGCTCCTCCTGCTCCCCTACCAGAGATGCAGCATGAAGTTCTTGCCGTTAGGGAGGATTCTACCCCACCCCAACCGCACCTAGTGCCTTTCAGATCCCATCCTACTCACAGTGGGAGGGATAGCTCAGTGGTTTAAGCATTGGCCTGTTGTGAGTTCAATCCTTGAGGGGGCCACCTAGAGATCTGGAGCAAAATCAGTACTTGGTCTTGCTAGTGAAGGCCGGGGGCTGGACTCAATGACCTTTTGGGGTCCCTTCCAGTTCTATGAGATAGGTATATCTCCGTATATTTTATTATGAAGGGTGCAGTCTCCTTGCTGCTGACTAAGGGAAGGTCCAGGCAAAGGTTGCTGGGCGGGACACGTTCCACAACAGAGTCATTTGGGGAACAAAGGAAGTTTAATAAGGGAAAGAAGAGACCACTGGAGGTGAGGAGATACAGCAGTTTTACCGCAGCAGAATTAAACCATGCCAGGGTGATACAGCCTGGCTTAGAGTCTGAAGTTTTCCAGGGGCAGAGTCCTGCTGGTACACTCCACACACACTGCAGCAGGGGGCTGGACAGCTTCAGCAGACCTGTCCTGGGAGGAAAGCAGAGCATTAAGGCAGAACTCACTCTTCAGCAGGGCCATGGCACGCGAGCCAGCTCAGAAACAAGGCAGGCGAAGTATAATGATGCATCCAGGCCTCCAGCCACACGCCCCCCAAAATGGGAGAGCTAGAAAAGGAGCGTTGGATTGGGTGCCTGCCCAGACCAATGCAGGAGAGCCTCCTGTCATGCCGGGCTCTTTCCCCCACCCTCACCATTTAACACCTCCTCTAGAACCTGCCCTGATTGAAGGGCCAAATTCTCAGGAGGAGCTCAGTGCCCAACGCATGCACGCTTTGCTGAGTCCTTTTGGAAAGGCAGCCGCTTATTTTGAGGAATAAATGGGAGCTTTGGAAAAGTCAGGCATGGCTCTTCTAACACTCCAATCAGCACCCGAAGGAAGCCAGCAGCTGGTAGGACAAAATAGCTGGAGCATTTCAAAATGGCGAGCCGTTCCAGTGGAGTGACTAGCTGTGGCCCGTTGTTTAGAGGGTACGAAGGGACACAACTAGGAGGCAAGGGGAAATGCAGAGCATTCCCCTGCCACAATGAGCTCTCTCCTAAGCCCAGTGCTGGACGCCCAGTCATTTGGGATAATTAAGAAGTGGACTGGACACAGCATAAGAAGCTGTTGTAGGAATAATCCTGTATTGTGTCCCTTCCCCAGTCTTAGATTTCCATGAATGACTGGCACACTCTGACCCATGGATCTATTGCTGCCATAGTAGAAAGGTGTTAAACACACCGGAGAGGGGCTTGACTGGACCATTACGCCTGAAGCAAACATTTCAGAGACCTAACAGCAAGCAACCAAACAGGAAAGAGACCAAAGAGGTTAGCCATCTAAACGCAACATATTTCCCAATGTTAGAAGCTGTTGCTGGAGCAGAGGTCTGTCATTTTGATTATCTGTCCATGGAATCCAAGAGATTTACAGCTTCTCCTTAGTGTTGCATGAAAAAAGAAAAAAAAAAGTGTTGATCAGAGTGTCGCAGATTGGAATGAGAACCAACAGCAAGTTCTTGGAAAGAGGTTAAAACTACTTTGAAAAGCTGAGACTTAATTTTTTCCTCTTATTTACACCAAATACAAAACAAACCATATGTAAGTTGGCTAGAATTAAATTCAGTTACTGTATCTTCTTCCACAACAGCTGAAGAGAACGACTCCTCTGCTAGCCATCCTCCTCTGGCTTCATATTCTGCATCATCTTCCACTGGAAAGAAGGGCGAATTGCAAGGTTACAGGCAACAAAACCCTCCACCACCAATGTCCGTTGTTTCTTTGGCTTCTACCATGCACAGCACACTAAAGTACCTCAGGTCATTCACAAAAAGCAGATGAATGTAGAGGATCCCCCATTATGCACACAAGGAGACCTTAGGTTTGGTTGCAACAGTTGCAGATCAAGCAATACATGGTGTACCCCCCGTAGAGAACCACACTGAAAATTCTGTGCCAGGAAGCTGGACAGTGGAGGAAGAGGAAAAGGGAAAGCTACAGCCAACGAAAGAGGATAGCAGTGGAAGAGTGGGGAGAGCTGCAGACTTTCATGGATCATTTCCCTTTCATGGTACCTCCAGAGCACTTCACAAAGATGAACAGATCAAGTCTCAACACCTCTGCTAGGCCATTCTTCTCTCTGCATCGCAGATTATGAAGCTCAGGGAGACACAGTGACTTGCCCAAGACCACAGACCAAGTCAGTGTCAGAGGTGAGACTAGATTCCAGGAGACCTGGCTCCCAGTGCTGTGATTTGACTCCCCAAACAAACACTCCCTCCATTTAAGCAGTGCTGTCGCTTCAGTTCATTACAGATACCAGAGGACCAGTTTTACTCACAGATTAGATGTTGTCCATTGAGATAAACTGGCCCAGTTCCAGACTTTAATTCAAAGGCAACAGGAGGGATAAATTCAAAGCCATCAAGACTGATCTGAAACAAAACAATTTAAAAAAAATCCAGAATCACTGAAATATTGAGAAGAAAGAAGCTGGCTAGAGAGCGACACTTGAAGCATACAGCCAGGGTTGCCCGGGGGGGGAGGGGGGCGGAGGCCAACTGGGGCAATTTGCCTTGGGCCCCACAGGGCCCCCCCATAAGAATATAGTATTCTATAGTATTGCAACTTTTTTTTATGGAAGGGGCCCCCGAAATTGCTTTGCCCCAAGCCCCCTGAATCCTCTGGGTCACCCTGCGTACAGCCTCCCTGTGAGTGGAAGCAAAGCCAGCTGGGGGGGCATTCCAGAGCAGATGGACATTGCATGGACCCCCCCGTCCTCACTACACATTCTTTAAGGAGCACCTGCAGATGCTTAAGCCAAGCTCTGCCCTCAGTTACACCCACAGCTGCACGGACATCAGTGGGGTTGCACAGGTGTAACCAAGGGCAAAGTTTGGAGGCAGACCCCCCGCTCCCCACTGACACACACAGTATGTTAGGTGCGGATGGCATACAGCTGATGCACTGATGCCACAGACAAGTCACTAAAAATGCACAGCACAGACACTACGCTTTCAGCACCCTGCAGATACTGGATCAGGCTCAGAGTTCATTTTCCTGGCTGAGTTAGTCAATGTGTTAATTTTTGTCTTCATAAGAAGACAGATAAGTTACACGTATTTGACTCGTCACGGGCAGATATGGAGAGCAGGGCAGGAAGACGTGCGATTGCAGGCCTGCTTTTTCTCTTGGCCGGGGGAGCTGCACTAGAAGGTGTTCTCTGAATTCCAGTGCATCTCGTTAGCATAAGGACTTTGGTCCATGGGTGGCAGCTTGTAGCAGGTGTGTATTCAGAGCAGTTCCTAAACAATCAAGTAATTTTTTGCACAGAGATGTTTTAATTCCAAAGACAATATTACCTTTCACTGAACTTTGTGCTTAGTTCCAAGCATCTGCTTGGTACCTTGGGTCTCGTTAGACAGCAAAATGTCTATAGCTCCTTACTCCCATCACGGGTTGGGAAAATCTCTAGCGATTTACAAATACAACCCAGCCAGCCAACTACAATACATCCGATTTCAGTGGCTGACCAGAAAAGCAAAGCAGGACAAGGGAATGGGAAGATAGTAAGTCTGCTCTTCTTGGGACTTTTTTTGAACGTTAGCCCAGGCCTGTGTTATATCAGGACCAGCATTGCCTTTGTGTCCATGAGTAAAATGAAAACAGATGTTTCTAGTCCAGATCAGGCTGTGTCCTATTTACAGGGATGCAGTTTTTAATTTTAAGCTTTGATTTGTCTCTGGACTTCTCTTTTTCTACTCTCTGGGTGGTTTTAAATCCTGAGGCCAGAAGAGACTATTTGTGAGCCTCTGGTCTGACCTCCTGCATAACACACCAAAGATGGTCTCTGCCATGCATGTTGGTCTGCACAACGGGAGAGGAACATTCACAGATTAACCTGCACAGCAACTTTGTGGGACAAGCAACTTCTTTGCTTTGCACAGGGGGAAAGCTTGCTCAGAGCCTGACTTTCAGAGGTGGCAGCTCCCATAGGATGCTCAGTCCCAAAGGTGGACTAAGTGACTTGACCATGGCTACAGAGAATCACCATTAGAGCTGAGATGCACCTGGCTCCCAGCCTGAGTGCTAACCACCATGCCCCCCTGGCTCTCAGTCACTATAGCTGGGTTGTTAACATTTCGTCTGAGGTTGGATGGGCCATAACGTGTACAGTGGAATGCTATGCCGGGCAACGGAGAGAGAAACAACCCACTCGTTCATCCGAGAGGGCACATTCACACACTAATTCCCCCAGATTAGTTGCTTGCCAGGCAGAGATCGTTCTGGGGTTGCCTTGTCAATCTCTTGGCTTCAAACAGCAGGTTTCCCTGAGGAGTTACCATGGGTAGGACAGAGAGCCTCAGTGAAGCGATGGGCACTGCCCTGTTGTCACCGTAGGTGTTTTTTGAAGCTACTGCCACCACGTGCGGTTCGTCCTTGGCCTCTGCACTGAGACAGATCTACAGCAGCGGAACAAAACGGATCCTCATGAGCTGGGTTTGCTGCGGACTAATCCCCATGCAGAGAGCCACACCCAGGCAGCGTTTAAAGTTGTTATTTAAATGTTTGCTTGGGATTTGGGGGCTGATTAAAGATGCCAGAACAACAGTCCTGGGGGCTGACACCCTCTCTTCAGCCTGGGCAGTGGGAGCAAGTCTCCCCCAGGATTGCTCCCTCCCCAGGGTGCTTTCATCCTGACCTGAAGAGACCCAGGAAAGGAAAACATGGTCTGTGTTCAGAGCCTGGCACCTTTGCTGGGCTTGGGGTCAAGGCCATGAATGCTTGAGAGGTCAGCAGAGCTCCCCACCCAGCGCTGCTCCTTTCAGAGTGACCCTAAAGCCACGTCTACATGGGAGAGTGCCACCAGTTTAATCCAAGGTAGGAATTTCAACCAATGTTGTTAAACTGATGCAATCAAGCCCCAGGTGACCTCTCCAATCTCAGTATGAGAGTGACTTCTTAGTTTAGCTAAATTGGCTGGGAACCAGCTTAAATTAAACCAAAATAAGCCCCTCAATCTGAAATTGGACCATCCACTCAGGGGTTTGCACCAGTTTAAGTAAGTTGATTTAACCAAACTGGTGCAAGTTGGTGTGCTGACAAGCCCTATCTGTCAGAGGGATCCCCGACAAGTTACGTTGCTTACCGTTTTCAGTAACACCAGGTGTTCCAAGAAGTCGTCTTCTTCCATCACCACACACCTCCTGGTGCTGGTGTTCAGCTCGCAGCCTATGGGAAAAACACTGCTGGATTTGTGGGGGCATTGCTGCCCCAAACAAACCCTGCAAGATGCAAGAAGAAAAATTGCAGCTGCCAATAGAAATTCAAGAGCAAAGAAATCCCTCTAGTCCCACAATGCACACATGCCACAGGTTGGAGACATACACAGGCATTTCCCATGGGCAGAAACTTTAAGGCCAGAAGGAACCATTGTGATCATCTAGCCTGACCCCCTGCCGAACACAGACCAGAGAAATCCACCCAATAACCCCTGCCTCCAGCACAATGGTTTGGCTGGACTGGAGCCTCTCAGCAGATATTTTGTCGTGTGGCGTGAGGTTCGCCTCTAACTCTGCTCTGAAAGGTTATTGACTCCTTATGGGGCTGTACTCCCAATACCCCCAACTTGCAAAATAGAAGCTGAGGCATTGGAAATATTCAGTAGCTCTTTGTATTCCGCTCCCTAGCAGTTGCAATCCTAATGGATCTTCATACATGGAAACGCCAATCAAGAGCTTAATGAGGACACCATGTGTCCAGTGCTTTGGTTTTCTTCATTTCATTCAGCCCAAGCCAAAGAAAACAAGTAGGATTTAAGAAGCTGGAATGAAATTAGCAGCACTGATCCTGGGAAACTAAGTGCTCCAGATGCCAGAAGCGCTGTACAGCAGTTAGAGGCAGGGCTAAAGCTGAATCCTCAGGAGGCCAGTACAGTTCAAGGAGCAGCTAAGCATGTACTTAGACAGAAAGTCAACAAGAGACACCAAGCCAATACTGCACACTGCTTGGAGACTTGAAGAAAGGAAATGCGGTGGGGGGGACGACTTATATTGGTAGTATGACTGCATATGCACTGCTCACGCCTAATCACAGGGGCTGGCGCTCTGTTCTTCAGCACAGATGGGTAGTTTGCTCAGAGGCTAGCAGGGAAGGCATGTCCCACTCTGATCACAAAGCAGCATAGTAGGGCCCAGGACCCGCTTAGAAGAGGGAAATGCAGTCTACGCCATTATATGGAAATTATCCACTGCCCTTAGGGTGGGGAAAATTAACACCCATCCCTTTTATTACATCATCCCGTAGCAGTATTTCTGCAACCCCTTCACAAGGAACCCCACCTGCTGCCCATCAGCCCCTCTCCCCTTTTGCTGGGGGATACCAGCCACACAAACGGCTCGGCAAACCCAGGGAACATGTTATCTTGCTTACACCTCAGCAATGGTCTCCTTACCCCACAAGACAGCAATGGGTTTCTCTTCTTCAGAACGCGGACTAGAGAGCAGGAGAGATGAACTCATTCTGCTCAAGAACTGACTCCACCTGGGCAACAAACAGATCCTAGAGGAATAAACATGGTAGAGGGAGTAAAATGCATCTTTTTGTTACCAAACCAAGAGCAGGGAGGAAAGCAATAAGAAAAATAAGCAACTGAACCTCTTCGAGTTTACTGTATTGCACTGAAGTTACAGAGCCAGTGAGGAGTAGCACAGAGATTTTTTTTTTCATATTAGAATGTTTTTAAAGAGTAGTTTTCTTATGCTTCTGTAATAAAGATTCAGCTTGAGACACTCTTCTTGCCATTTTATATTTTTCTAATAATAAAATCCCCTCCTGCTCCCCACTCCAATCACCTTGGTCAGGATGAACAAGTAGTTTGCTCTGCCTGGGCTAGTAAAGTTTTCATGATGATTTTACAAACCTGAATTAAGCAGGGAGCTCTGAAAAGTAAGGACACTGAAGAGAACAACTCCTCCCTTCCACAGGCCAGACTGGTAATGGAGATCTTCAGGAGAACTAAAGGCAACAGATTTAACAGAACAGGTTGGGTTCACTCTCTTAACATGGAATCATTCGAACTGCCCAGCATTTCTGAAGCCTCTAGAATACCGCTCAGCACTTACACTGCACTTTACACCCTCCCAGCATGATGCTAGCCATAGCTAGTGCATCTAAGTTACTCTAACTGACCAGGGGGGAAGCCCAGTTCAGGTGCTGGGAGTTCAACTACCAAAGGAAGAGAAAATCTAGGACAAATTGAGAATATCAGACACATATGATCACATGGATTTCATCCCCTGACATTAAGTCAGAATTAGGATGAAAAGCATTCTCTAAACCCTAAGTTTGTAAAAGGCTTGCTCCATCAATGTGCTCACAATCAAGATTAGCTCCCCTCCTAAGCTATAAGCTAAGGGTGGGAAAGAGCTGGGTTGGCCTGAGCCAATTACAAATGAAGGGTAGATGAGATGGGGAGCTATCCAAACAGAAGAGCAACAGGAAATGCAGATGAAAGCCACACCCTCTGTGAGTGCACCTGTCTGAGGGTGAAATTAATCATACATAGCTCACCAGCATTTCTTGCTCTAGTGCAGCAGGGAGGAGATTCTCACCATATCAGGGTGATGATTGATAACTAGCAAAAATTAATTAAAATCAGAGACTTGAGGGCAATAGGGTGCCCATATTTGCCAAAGGGAAAATGGGACACTGTGTGGGGCTTGCCCAAGCCCTCCCCCAAGAGCTCCCCACCCCCCTGTGGAGCTCCCCTGAGCCCAGCCTGCCCTCCTCCCTCACGAGGCTGGGGTCGCTGCTTGCCTGAATCTTGCCTGCCCCCTACCTCCCCCGCTGTTGCCACTCACCCACACACACACACCACTTTTTGACAAAAGTGGGCATTTGTCCCATTTGCTTTTGCCAATTGATCAATAGAATATGCCAAGAAAGAAACAATGACAATTAAAAAAACCAAAACACCCCTCATTATCCACATTAGAATTCACAGATCAGTCCAGCTGGTTCTCTATTAAAACTCCCCTGTTGGGTGTGATGGCGTTCTTCCCTTGTGCCAGTAGGTGGTGCTGGGAATCTCTGCATTACTTTCTTAAAAGGGGAGACATTGCTTTTTGAGCGGCCTACACTAACGATAGAATCATAAAAATGAAGGGCTCAGACCTCAAGAGGTTACCTAGTCCATCCCCCTGCATGGAGCAGGACCAAGTAAACCTAGCCCATCCCTGACAGATGTCTGTCTCACCTGTTCTTAAAAACCTCCAACGAGGGGATTCCACAATCTCCCTCAGTAACTGATTCCAACACTTCATTATCTTTGGAGTTAGCAAGTTTTTCCTAAACTCTAACCTCAATCTCTTTGCTGCAGATTAAGCTGAGTGCTACTTGACCTACCCTTGGTGGACATGGAGACCAGGCAAAATACAGCCCCACAGAAGCTACCAACAATGTCTTGAATGACAAACGTTGTCTAGCTAATGCCTTCTGAACACCTGCTAGAAGCAGCATGCTAAAGAACCTCCCTGCTGAACTGGCCCTTATCTAGCTCTCCCCTTTTTTATTAATTGCTATGAACATTTGTATGGCAAGAGGATTTTTACTGCTAACAAGCTCATTGTTTTTCAGGGCAGGCTCACCCCACAGTAACTCCAAACTCTCCATGCTTTGATTGTTGGAGGCTGCAGGATTTTTGGCAAGTTTCGTTTTTAAGGGTCTCCTTTCATCTTGGCCCCAGCAGTAGAAGAGAGCTTATCACCCCACTTCCATGCATATTGGCCAAGGTTTCTTCTGCCGATTCAACAGCTGCTCCTCAGGCTTTTCCCTCATCTGATGTCTCAAATAATCTTTTGTTTGTGGCATTGCTTCCAGTTGCTGTGGAAATCATTATAACTGCCTGTTCTCGCAAGGGTTTATTGTGCTTGGGCTGATCTGAGGTCCCAGGAGAAGGAAAACTCTGGCACAACTTTAACAAACTGCCTGGCCAGGCCTGACGTTCTGGGTTTGACATCAATCACACATGCTCTGTGTGGGTCTGCGCTACCAACCCTGGCTAACGAAGGCAAAGTAAGCATTAATCTGGGGTCTCAAGCACAAGTTTAAGCACTTGTCAAAATCTTAAAGCCTGATGGGAAACAGTGGTCTCTGACCTGGAAGTTCATCCATGCACACTGCTCTGTTGATTTCATGTGAGCCCAAGGATGATGCTCTCTAGTGCAAAGCATGGATCTCTCTAGACTGCTTTACTACAGAGCCTCCTGGAGTTGCAACCACTGCTCATGGAAATCTCTCTGGGCCAAAAGGGGCTGCCTGCCCTGAAGGGTGAATTCCATTGAATAACACTGAGTTCCTGGAAAAAGCACCTCCTTTACTGCAAAATGGGGAGCTGGTTTCAAAGGTATAAATGAGTTAGGTGCCCAATTCCCACTGAAAGCCGATGAGGGCTCGTCTACACTTGAAATGCTACCGCAGCACTGCTGTCATGCTTCAGTGTAGACACTACCTACTGGAGGGGTTCTCCCTTTGGCGTAGGTACTCCACCTCCCCAAGAGGGGTAGCTAGGTTGATGGAAGAATTCTCACCTCAGAACGATGTAGTTATGCCACTGTAAATTCCCAGTGTGAACCAGCCCTGAGAGTTGGGTGTTGAACTGCCCTTTATGCCTTGGAAAATCTCCCTTTTCCAGGGCTGGCACTTGTGTCCTCTTGCACTGGACAGCTATACTCATCACCTCTGTGCTTACCTGTTGACTCCCATATCTGAGATCAGTGAAGTCACTTTAGGAGACAGAAATAGGGCTACTTCAGTGGAATCTGACCATTGGAGCTACGTTGTTCCCAAAGCGTAGACTGCTCCAAAGCCAGCTCTGAGAAGAACCGCAGACGGTTCTTCCTGTATAAAAGAAACACCTCAATACTCACATGTTTTCAGGTATATATATTTATTTACAAGTGACCGTTGGGAATTTTTGAAGGCTTATTTCACATGAGGGGAAAATGACAATCACCATCATATTTACAACCAAAAACTTCCCGGAGAAAGATATAACAAACTAGCAGGGTATATGCACACCACCATAAATACAAGGGCACATTTGTACATAATACTATTTACATTGGATAATGTGTACAATGTCTATGTAGCTCTCATGCAGGATGGAGTCCAAGGGTTTGATTCTCATTTAGACTAAGACCACTTTTCACCACTCCGGCAGTGTAAAGGAACCTTCAAGTGAGAGTAAATTAGCCACTCTCAGGCGCCTTTCCATGATTCCAGCGTTGTACCATGGCCGAAGTAAGACTCAGGCCCCAAATGCATACCCTGCTACTGCTTCAGAGAGCTACAGACCTTCCAGCACTGTGATTTTGGCATGTACAGTAGAACCTCAGAGTTACAAACACCTCGGGAATGGAGGTTGTTCTAAGTCTGAAATGTTCGTAATTCTGAACAAAACATTAGGGTTGTTCTTTCAAAAATTTGCAACTGAACATTGACTTCATACAGCTTTGAAACTTTACTATGCAGAAGAAAAATGCTGCTTTCCCTTTATTTTTTTAGTAGTTTACGTTTAACACGGCGCTGTACTGTATTTGCTTATTTTATCTCTGCTGCTCCCTGATTGTGTACTTCCAGTTCCAAATGAGGTGTCTGGTTGACAAGTCAGTTCGCAACTCTGAGGTTCTACTGGATTCACATTCAGGTGTATGGTCAGTATCTGTCCGGCTATTCACGGAGACCTGCAATCACCGTTCGGGGCTTGGGCCTGAAGACAGAGCTAGGATTCAGCTTCTCTGCCTTAGGGCCTGCACCTGTGGCCTCCATGGAAGCTGGAATAGGCCCTGGTGCCCTGATTTTCAGAACTGCTGAGTATCTGCAGCTCCCACTCAACTGGCTGGGAGTTGCGGGCACGCAGAGCCTCTAAAGAAAGGCCCTTCGGCCCAGTCCACAAAGGTATTTAGGCTCCTAACTCCCATTGGTTTCAGTAGAAGTTAGGTGACTAAATCCCTTTGGGGATCTGAGCCTTAGAGATTGCAAGACCCATCTCAGAAACCAAGAGTAATATGTGGAGCCCTATTGGCCCAATCCTACAAGGTGCTCTCTCCCAGGTGCTCCTGCCTTGCAGGGTCCAGCCCCAGGTGCACAGAACATAATGTAGTTACCACTTTATTGTGGGGTTGTTTCAGGGGCCCAGAGATTAGCTGGACTGTTGTTTCCTGTCCACGTTTATATCTCCCTTGCTGAGTGTATACTAGCAAGAATAATACCTTTCATCCTGGAGAATCCTAAAACGTTTTGCTAACCATATACACACAGCACAGCTAAAGTGCAGCTGCCTCTGGAGTGGAGGGCTACAGCCAACAGGTACATATCACACTGCACAGATGGAGGAGGTGGAGGAGTCTGGCCAAGCTCTGACTCTCACAAAAAGTGCCAAGGGAAGTTTTATGCCCAGGCAGAGCAAAGAGAATCTTGTCTTGTAAGGGTTCATCTAAAAAAACCTCCATGGAATTCT